CTGGAACAAATTCTCCAGAGAGTTTGTGGTGTCTCCCTCACTGAAGGTATTCAAGAACTGTTTGGACACAATCTTGTGTAATGTTCTCTGGGATGACCCTGCTTGAGCAGGGAAGTTGGGCCAGATGTGGTCCCTTCCAGCCTGACCCGTTCTGTGAAATAATCATCTGTGTGGTGTCTCTTCACATAATCAGCTTCCTTTTGGTGTACTTCATCCAAGTTCCCATGGTGTCCTGCATTTCCACCAACTGGGTGAAAAATAGTTTGAAGTTAACTACTAAATACATGCTTCCTAAGTCATGCTCTGGTGTTGGTTGTTGTCCTTGGATAAGTGCTTCCAGGTATTGCTACTCTGAGTTACTAATGAATTACTTTCTTTTAATGACCCTAATGGTTACTTGTTAAGAATATTTACCTTTAAATCAGTTTTGAAAATCCATGTAAAAAAAAGTGCATTTGGCTGTGTGCCTGTCTGATTTGATTGCAAGATTGTCAGGAGCAGAGGCACATCTTTGCACCAAATACATATGCACATAGTAGGAAATTGTTAGCATGGCAGTAATCCTGCAGTTTAAGTTCCAGCAAAGCAAAGATCAAGCAAGTTTCAAGTTCAGAGTAATTTTTTGTTCAGCCTCGGTTTCCGATATAAGCTATACTTGTACATTACTTATGAAAGATTTTTTTATTTCAGTGACAGCTGATGAGCTATGGAAAGGAGCTTTGGCAGAGACTGGTGCAGGAGTAAAGAAAGGAAGAGGAAAGAGAAGGAAGAAAAAGCTAAGGAAGAATCTCAATAGAGGCCAGGAGATTGGTGAAGGTAGATTCACAAATAAGGAGCTGAAGACATCTTGACCTTTTTGTGTGTAGTGTTTCTTGATTTAATAAATTGACATATTTCTATTCCTTTCTGTGGTATCAGAACTGCTTGAGATATTTTTGTGTTTAAACAAAAAATCTTGATATTAATTATTTAATGTTATAAATTCCACATCATAAAATGTACTTGACATATGTGAGAATTTAGCATTTTGTTACTTTTTCTTCAGAGTGCATAGTTGTAGTCCTAATTTGGAATAAAACGTAATTGTTCTCTGTTATTTTTAAGGACGTTCTGGTTTCCTCTGGCCTGGTCTTAATGCTCCTGTGATACAAACTGGGAAAGTCCAGGCAGTTACTCAGAGAAAAAAAGAAGAACGAGAAAGAATTCAGACTGAAATTGTTCAGCAGAGAGATACATGGGAGAAGAAAAGAAAAACAAGAATTAAAAGAGAGGGAGGATGGAGTGGAAGCTGTTGGGGAGGTGTCCTTCTGGATCCTCCTGACCCAGGTCCTAATGGAGGTAAGAACACCAATTATGTGTCTTCCTCTTACTTAGCCTTTCTGATAAGGGGTTTGGAGAAAGTGAGATCCGGGCTTTTCCTGTGATTGGAAATAAGTTCCAATCATATAAGAGAAATTCTCTCTTATATGCCCATACATAAGCAAGCTAAATCAAAGAACAGGTAAAGACAGGTGAAATTTGTAAAAACACTTCTTTGTTTCACTGTTGTAGTATGTCATAGACTGTATGATGTTATGTTGTGTTACAGAATACTGTATTATGTCATAGACTGTTATAGGAGTCTTGAACTATGAAAATATCTTTCTGTGTTCATCAGTTGTATGGAGTATGAAATACAGCTGTGGTTTTTTAATAGTTTCATAAAGCATCCTGTGGGATAAATCAGGCTTTTTTTCTTGATTCTTGTTCAAATGATGAAATATGGTTAAAGATTGTGTAGTTTGTAGCTTTTAGAAGAAGCTATAATAAATAACTATAATAGTAACTATTATAACTATAAAAGTTATTTATTTATTTCCCAAGTAGTTAAACGCCGTAGTGAAACTAGAGATTCTTTACATAGAGCAGAGAGGTGACTTTTTTTATAATGCTGTTATTTAAACTACTATAAGTTCTGTAGTTGTTTTAACATTTAGAAGCCTAATCTTTTTCAACTAAACATAAAAAAGGGTTGTTAACTTGGGTTGGGCTGACTTTTTAGTGCAGAACTTGTGTGCTTATTGCCATCTTTCTGTAGGCTTTTGTAGCAAGATGAACTAAGAAAGACAGTTGATGTTTTCTAGCACTGTTGTTTCAGGCTTGTTGCCCTGTGTGAGGTGTTAAGCATGTTCATGTTTTCAGAGCTCTCTTTGCCCAGGAATATGTTTTCCCACTGCAAGCTTGCACCTTGGAACTTATGTTGCAGCAAGTCGATATAAATGGAGAATTACTTGCATGGAATCACAGCTATATTGTTGTCTGATCATCCTGCAGTCACCAGCCTGCCCGGTGCTTTGTTAACTAATTTCTTTCTGCCTGTAAATGTTTTCTGTTTACGTTCTACTGGGCGCTAATTAGAACTCCTGACATGCTTCGAACCGAGTCATAGGGTAGTTAGAGCATTGTCTCTCCAGAGTAATCTCGTGCCTTGGTGCATGTGGATTGAAGCCACCGTGGCATTTCTGTAGCTTTCTGCTTTAAAAATTCACACTGTTGTTGCTCTCTGCTACTTCTCTGTTCCATTACTTTATACATGAATCTGTGGGGTCTGTTGCTGTAGAGTATGAGATACACTGTTTCCCTCAGATTTACCTTGGGAACTAAGGAGGTCTTGCCCACCAATCTCTTTGAATATTTTCTTCTTTTTCTTCAATTCTAAGAGCAATTAATTCCATTTTAATATCAACATAATACTGCAGTATACGACTGAAATACTTCCCGTATTTACTTCCCTGCATTTCATCTTGTTACCTTGAAAGCAAATATTCCATGGAAGACAGTGATGTGACAATGGACTTGGCTGTCACCAAACCTTTCAATGTAAAAATAGAAGATCTGAGAAATTAATTAATTGTTTCAAATTCCCCAGAAGTCAGTGGTGGAATATATAGCAATTCAAGAAAATGTCATAGTTCTAGTTCCACACTGTGAACACAAGACTGTGTATAGTTTATTCCACTAAAAGAAGTGACAGCTGTTGCAAACAGTGTTTATGCATTTATGAATTTTGCCTTCTGGTGTTTTCCTTGATTTTGCTTTTGGCTGATACTATTGATGTAGATTACTTGCATTAAAGTTGGCTGTGTGGAGGCTGTTCTAGTCAGGTCAAGTTCTGCCAAAAAGAGGAAAGGGTAGTGCAGTCAAAATAGGAAAATGAAACTGTCAGTTTGTATTATAAAATTATTACTTGAGAAAAAGCAGTTCCTGGTTAGTATATACTAATTCCCTTTCAATCTGTTAAAAATGTTATTTCATAGTTATTTCAGCGTCTTTTTATTCAGAGAATTGATGATTTTGCAGGGAAGTTGGGACATTGGCTGTATGCAGAGCACTGTCAGGATGATAGGAGGAACAGACCTGAAAGTGCCAAACCCATTGAATCCTTGACATGCCTGAGGCAATGGCATGACTGGATTCCTGGTGTCTAAGCAAGAATGTGTTCTGAATGAGATTCTGCAGTTCAGCTCTTCCTGATATTAGATTCTCTAGTAACAGATGGAGGTTAAGCATATGATGCAGCTTTTCCCCAGCAGCATTTGTATTTTCTGGTGAAAACAGGTGCAAGAGATCCGTTGAAACCTCAATGTTAGCCTTCAACATCTGACAGATTTGCTTGAAAATGATTGTTATAAAAAACCACTGGAGGACATATTCTGATTGTATATGCTAAATTCTTTCAAGGGATTCTTCTTCCATTATACCTTTACTTATTATGCTAGCTAGGAGTAGAGAAAGAACAATGTTTTTCACTTAGAAATAAAACTGTATTTCTGACAAGTTTGCAGTGTTTTTTTGCAACTGAAGAGGCTTCAGAGAGGGAACAGAATGCCTGTTGGCTTTCATATCCTCTGCTGTGAGCTAAAAGTCTACTTGGTGTAGACTAACAGATCTCTAAATGGGGCCAAGATGATCATGTTTATAATAATCTTGGAGGTTATGTGTGAATGATAAAGCAGTGTTTGGTGAAGGACTGAGTCCCCAGTTCTGCACTCGTATACAGTTTTTAGCTTTTCTCCAGAATCTCACTGTAACCACACCAAAAAAAAGAAGTATTAACTGCTTTAATTGGCAGTGGTCTTCTGTGTAATACTGAAATGCTCTTGTTAATGAGATAAGTTGGAAAAGCAGGAGTTTGTAAGGATGCCTTGTCTATTCTGCTTCTTACCCCAAGATGTTGCAATTTAGTGCACTCTCCATTGTTTTCAAAGCCAACACATTTCCACAACCAAACTGATAATAGGATTCTTGTGGAAAATGTATACATAAATTTTAAATATGTTCTCCATTGCTTAAAAGGAAACAAATATAATTGCAATTTATATTCAGGTGTGGTGATCAGGTTTTGAAACAGAAACTCGGAGAAAACAGGATCTTTTTGGCAGTGTCCATTATTTGATGCATTTTTGCCTGCTTCTGTAAAAAGGATATTGAGAAATGCTGGTGTGACCGCTGAAAGCCAAGCCTAACTTGCTGACTTTTCTTGCAGTGTGTGAAGACCTATGAATATGATCTGACTGGGCTGCATTTTGCATGGTTTTGTGCTCTCTCATTTGTCTTGTCTGGAGGTAGTACATGTAGATGCCCATGTCATGCCCAAAGCTGTGCAGTATTCTTGCTCTTTCCTTCCCTACAGTATTGTAAAACATTTCAAAAACATTTTACTTCTTTTAAGTCCTTTACAATGACAGAGCAGAAACTCGCTTTCTGTGCAGTGAAGAGCGCATGTTCACCACTTAGAGCTGAGTATTTAACATTCACCTGAACGTATTCAGTGTTTCATTGCCACTGTGGTGAAAAGATTTGAACATAAAACCTAGAAGTGATCATTTTTTTTTTTACAATGCACAGCACCTTAATTGCTAATAGACGAAATAAATTATGCAATAATTGTCTTTGATGGCAAAGATTTTTTTCAGGCAGATTTGAAAGAGAATCGAAAAAAGTCTGGCTAGGTGATGCTTGGTTATTTGAAGTGGTTATGTATTGTTTTATTTTATCCTTCTCCTTTTTCTGGAATTTCACAAAAGTGTATATCAAGAAGTACTTGCAATTTCATAAAATCATAGAATCAAAGAATAGGTTGTGTTGGAAAGGACTTTTTAAGGGTCATCTAGTCCAAACCCCAGATTTCTTTGAATCGAGGGGTTTAATTGATTGTCTAATACATGCTTCAGAATATCAAGAGGAATATTGGGTAATACTTTGGTCATAATGCAAGTGACCCATTTGGTGATTTTAACAGCTTACAACTTTTGCTCAGTATGTATGAAATTTGGGGGTAATTTGCAGTTTTAGGGCAGTATTTAAAGAAGAAGGCAGTTCACTGCCAGCTAGTGAAAACTCAAAACATTCTCTTTTTGTAACACACTGTGGATAGATAATTTTCATAGTGTTGCTGCAATTGGAAAGAATTAGGAAGAACACCAGATACAATTTAACAAAAATGCTTTGGTGTAAATGGGGAGTTAAAGTGATTTCCAAAAGAAAGTTTCAGATTTAATTTGGAAAGGATGTATAGCTTAGCTTGTGATCAACATATTCAACATATTCTAAAGAAAGCTTTGCTTTCTGTGTGATGTTCAATCACACAATGTTAAATTTGTATGTCTTGCTTTGCCATTAAAAGAAATGTAATCTTCTTCCTCTCTACTACTCTGGTTATTTAAGTTGTACAGTCTTGGGAGACTGTTCCATCTTACTCCCCTGCATGTGTCGTACTTTAAAAGGTGAAATATTGATTACAGTTGGAGGTTGGGGTCCCCAGTAGAGCACAACTAACATATTTAATGATGGTAATCTCTTTATTCTAACAGGAGCTGTATTGTAATTGTAGTAAGTAGTATTACAGTTTCTGAGAAATTATCTTAACAGGATTTATTATTTTTTTAAAGGTAGCTGTCTTCACATAACTTGATTTTACTGAAGAAATGGAAAATACATGCTTTATAAATAAGAGGTGTATGCTGTTTTTTCACAGAATTTGCTCTAAAAGACTGAATGAATGGAGTCAAGTAAAAAAACTTTTTTAGAAGGAAGCAACTAATAAAGCTCACTTCAGATATGTTTGATCAAATTATTTTTATCTTGTCTTTTCTACTTATTGCTGAGATTGCTTTATAAATTACATTTACATAAAAGTTGTATCCTTTTTAAGTTATGCCAACTTCAGGGAGATGTGCTCACAGGGAAGTAACACAAGGAAATGTAACACCCTATTTTTCTCCCAACAGAAACTTTTGAAGATTTTGAAACAAGAGTCATTGAGGTAAGCATTGCAGGTCTTTTCAAGGACTTTAAAGAATTATCACTATTTTATGTTGACCTTGCAATTATTTAACAATTCTTTGTTAAGTCAGTGTTATAGCAGTAGGAATTAGTCTGGTATCCTGTAGCAGCTGCATTACATACTCTTGTCATTCTGTTCAGGGGATCTTGTTTTCTCTGTTGAGCAAATAGCTAATTCAAAGGTAATTTTGTGTAACTCCAAAATGGCAAATGCCTGCAGATAAAGTTTTCACATTGAAGTTATTTGCATACAATTATAATGGGGAAACTAATAAAGTGATTGGGTTATTTTTCAGACAAAAATACAGTTAGGAAGATGTATAACTCTGCTAGTAAAATAAATTAATTCCTAAGGCCTTTTTGTCAACATCTGGATCGATTAAATTAAACCTTGTTAAACTCTGTTATGTTCTGGGGCATAAATCAGCTCAGTAGCTTTGTGTGTAAAGTAAGTAGAATCGTAGAATATCTTGATTTGGAGGAAACCTGTAAGGATCAGTTAGTCTCTAACTCCCAGCTCTTCACAAGACAAGGTAAAACTAAACCATATGATTAAGAGCATCGTCCAGATGCTCCTTGAGCTCTGGCAGGCTTGGTGCCATGACCACTTCTGTGGGAAGCCTATTTCAGTGACTGAATACACTCTCAATGAAGAACCTTTTCCTAACATATCATTGGTGGACTTACTTAATGTAGATTTAATGATTCCGCATCCAAATCATTTATAAAAACATTTAAGAGTGCTGGCCCTAAAATTGAGCCTACTAGTGACTGATTGACGGCCTGATGTAACCCCATTTACTGTAACCTTCTGTTGTTTACTTACCTACAGATGAAATTGCTTGTTAGGTATATGTTCCTTTCAGGATTATTAGCAAAACTTTCATTTGCAATTAATATTTAACCACTTTATTATTGAAAAACTAGACTAGTCTAGCTGCTGCTTTGTACTGGAGACTTCTGTCCTTTCTAACTATGACCTGAGAGCGAAGGTATCAACCTGAATCAGTACACATTCTTTGACAGATCAGGTGTTTTTGCTTAATATGAATGTTGACACCCTTTTATTACTGTAAAATTAAGTGACTGTCCATTGAGTTGTGCAGTTTTAAGTGGGTAGAGATGACTATTTATCACTTTACTACAGCTTCGCTACCAAACAGTTCTGCAAAATGTTGCCTATATTATTAACTGTAAACTGTTACACATGTGTCCAGATGAGGTACTTGTTTTAAAACATCTTTGAGTTTCTTTTAGTTTCACTCACAGCTGGGATAACCATCTTATGTTCTACCACCAAGTTCACTAGTCATGTCCTTTTTGGGAGGGATCACATTCTGTCTGTCCACTACCATGCACTGTCATATACTGTTGGAACAGCAATCCTTTTAAAATCATTTCTCTGACAAAACTGGCAAGAAATAACATGTTCCTAGTTATTGAATGCACTTATTCTGTGTCATTGTGGAAATATTAAAATCTCATATTCAGATTTTAATATCTTTGAAACAACTTTCTTCTTCACTGCACACCTGATTTTTCTTGCCGGACCTTATATCTGATTGCTTTTTTCTTGGAACATGATCAAACAACTCCCTGTTTGAGACAGGAAAGAGTGAACCTGTCTCTTGACAACAAAATCAGAGCTGCTGCCTGAAGATCTGTGAAATCAAGTGTTTACTTGTTTGGAGAAAAGGTAAAAGGTTGCCATTTAGATGGAATTGTTGTCAAAGAGGGAATGAGATGTCCCAGTCTAAAACAGGACCAAATGTGTAAAGGAGAGAGTCCTTTTATCTGCCAGTTTTCCAGGGTTCATTGTAACACAGGGGTGCACAGGTTTAGGAGCAGGATGCTAGATGTGCGAAATACACATCAGTTAATAGTTTCCATCACCATCTCTTTTGAAAAAAAAAAAACGGGAACTGCAAGTTAGGGAAATAAATAGTGTCCTTTAATAATAATACTCTTACATGTTGCCTTATGTAGAAGCTTAGGACAAAGGGTGGAACCAGAAGTTCTGAATATCACCTGTGAACCAAATCTCTCTTGGTTTTGGTTTTAGATCTCAATTCCTTGTCATTGTTCATGCCATCTGTCTTTGGAATGATGCTTAACTACCTTTTGTGTGAAATTGTTTTGTCATTCCTTGGTGAGGTACTTTCCATGAAGAAATGTTTTATCGAGAAATTTTTGGCAAGATTTGAGAATATTGATGTTATATTTGATGTGGTAATGGGAGTCTATCAATTGTCTTAATTGAAATACATGTGGACAGAGTAGGTAAGATTTTACCAAAAAAAAAGCTTTTAAATGGCCTTAAGTAATAAATAATGTGTACAGGGTGCAAGAGTAAGAACAAAATTAATGTAACTGAGAGCAGCATTCTTTTCTTTTAAACTGTGTACAAGCATAACCTAATGGAAAGGGAGTTATGTTGTCTGTTCAACTGAGAGGGATTCTGAGAAACATTTCCGTAAGCAAAATACCTGATTTACAACATCTCCTTGTCTGAAAGTTAAAAGAATAATCAGGCAAGTCAGAAGTTGATCTGAGTGACAGCTTTATGCCAGAAAAGCATCTGAGGCTTCTCTCCTGTCCTGATAAATGTGCAGGTGGATTTTCCCTGTCCTTGATTATCTTTCTGCATTTTGCTGAGATAACCATCAGCTGGGATTCCATCCAGTGGCTTGAGTGTTTTCTGGATTAATCCTATCTGTCAAAATCTTTGCTTGTTGCACTGGGTGTTAGTATCTTCAGAGATATGGAAAACAGTAATGCTGTATTGCAACCTCAGCTTGGGTAATTAGAAGTCGTGAGTTGGTTTATTTATCTATTTTTTTAAATCCTGCAGAAGGGAAAAGTATAAGCTGTTTTACATGTCTACTGTGAAAAGGATAAAAAGAAACAGATATAAATAACAACCAAAGGAAATTTAGATGTAAAGCTTGAGATGCAAATGGTAATTTGAATACTGGAATGCACTGTGAGTATATGGGATGTCTGTCATTGGAGCTTTTTAAAAACAAGTTAGATAATCTGTCAGGAGGGGTGGGGAGACGAAATCTGTAACCTATTAACCTGTTTTCTTATTTAAGTGGGTTTTTGGAGTGGACTGGGCACTGTGGGCTTTGACTGTTTGGATCACTTGGCCTTCAGCCATATCTGTGTTGGAGGGCAGTTTATAATAATTGAATTGCATGGGCACTGTACATGAAAGAAGGGATTTTTCTTGCTGAGCCCTGCAGTTGGCAGTGCTCTCTGTTAATTGAAAGGGCACACTGAAGTAAAGTGGCCGTTGTTTTGTTACTGTGACATGTCACAACTGGCTGTCAGTTTGGATGCTTGAGTTTGCCATTCTGTGCTGGCATAATTATGTGCAAACAGCAAAGTAAGTTGCTATGCAATGTTTCCACGTGCTATAGAAGTCTGTTTCAATGCTTTATTATATTTGAATAATTAAAAAGCTTTTAGATGAAGGCTAGAGATCTACTCTTGTATGAGATTGCCACAGATGGGAACTGAGGAAGAGGAATGTTTTTGCAGAAAAATAGCAGCAGCAGCAGCAGCAATAACTTCTATATTCAAAGCCAGCAGTGAGCCCAAGATAATTGAGTCCAATAATTTTCTGATAGCAAGTATGAGTTTTGAAATAAATAGACCTTTTTTAGCATTCTTGTTTTAAATAGATGACAGACATGCTGCTATTTCTGTATGTTTTCCATTATCTTTATATTCACAGTAGTACAGGAGATAAAAATAATGTTTGCTGGGAAATTATACTTCACAGCAAGAAGCTAAAAGCCATTTTTAAAGGACTGACTTATGAACAAAGATACAACAGGCCCTTTCTGTTGAGATTATGCTACTGAAAAGCCTGTGCTCCCTTGCTAAAAGAAAGAAATTGCTTATTAAAATGTTTTCTTATAATATAGAAATAGAAGGGATGTAATTTTATTTCCCCCTACTTGTAGAATAGGTTATAGACAAGCTCAGATTTTCATGTACACTAGAGTTAAAGTTGTCAGAGAAAAAGCAAGCTTGAGTGAGTGTTGAGGGACAGCAGTAGGGACTGTAGATTGGTTTTGTTTCTGGCTTTCTTATAGACTATTGCATTACTTAGTGTAGGTGACCTGGGTTACCTGTTTCTTACTTTTCTTGCCAGCCTGAAGGCACATTTCCTGTTTTGCTCATATGTTACAGATAAGAAAAAACTCTTTGAATAGAACTAGTGGTAGTACTTAAGTGGCATCTAACATAATGTAAGCGCAGTGGAAATAAAAATTTACATGTGTAGTTGACATGTGCCATTTTCATTTTCACTGCAGAGCTTCATTTCATGTGTCATCCATCCTCAGAGGAATTTTTCTTTTATTTTTCTCCAGAATGAACACGGTAACATAGCAAAAAAAGTAGCCTATGTGATATCCTGTGCTATGATAGTAATTGCCTTGTAGTGCAATCAAAATTAGAAAGTGAGACCTAATGATCAGTAAGGCCTGAAGGCACAGAACATGAGGTTAGTGGCCCTTTGAATCTTTCATGAAGCAGAGCTTTCCTGGGGAGAAGATGAAGTTATAAATAATGCCCTTTGCAAAAGACAGATCCTGAGGGGGTTTTGTCCAACACTGAAATTGCCTGTTGCCAGTTGTGAAAATTGAGCCTTCTGTCTCCTATTTCCTCCCCAGGAGGGTCCACGTTATCCCAAGTCTTTTGCTTGTGACGTTATCTGTAGAAGCTGTTCCTGTTATCCTTGATATCCCTGGCCAGATTTAATTCTAACTGGCCTTGGCTTCCTTAACCTTATTCCTAGCTTCCTGTACAATTTTCCTGAATTCCTCCCAGGCCACCTGTCCTTATTTCCACCTGCTGAAAACTTTTTTCACTGTGAGTTAGCTCAGCAGCTCCTGACGTTTTTGCTGAATTTCCTCCTCATCGGGATGTGTTGCTCCTGAGCTTGGAGGAGGTGATCCTTGAAATTCA